ATGGTGGTTGAGATATTACGCGTTTGGTGATGGTGGTGAAGATGGTGATACTGGCCAAGTAGGTGGTTGGCCAACAGGCAGGGGTTCGAACTTACATCCCGACTTCCTGACGCGTCGCGTAGTTCTTAGCGTGTTTCTAGTAACACTAGTAGCATGTGGAACAACGAGGCAATAAGGGAATGCTCTATAAATGTTTTGAACTTGAATTGCTTTTCATAAGGATCAGTGGTTATCTGGGTGAGTTGGATTAAAGATCTCTAGTGTATCACAGCCCTTCTTGGTGTAGCTGCGGTTTAAAAACACGCAATCACTCCAGATTAAGCTTGCCATTGGTATCCTTTTTGGTATCCTTTTTACTATTATGTATCCTATTCCTACATCCAATCCATTCTCTACTGCTGGCATCAAATCTACTGGAGTACCATATCGGAGATGTAGATCGTGGTTGTCGCTGTCAATCGTCACATTCTCGGTATTGGCTCGATGTAATCCGTAACTCCGTTCTAAAACTCCGTTCTAAAGCTCCCTTCCGAAGGCCTCATGGTTACAACCAATTATGGCAACAATGATATCAGTTCGATGTATTTCCCTATGCACCTCCAACCCATCATATCCTCTCCACTAACCCCCAATTCACCCCCGGCTAAAGATGCGTTGTCTCCATCCCATGTACACCCGGAGCCGGGCCAACTTCATCGTCGATTAGCCTTGGCTTATCCAACGCCTTCCTAGCCGCGCTGGTCGTGAGGAACCGGACATAGTAGTACAGAGAGATGAAAAGCGTCAGGAAAAACGCTCCGCTATGGTCGGGGGGTTAGCGACCGATTGCTTCAGAAATCAGACGTCCAAGACCAAACTCACAAAGCACCGCCGGAAATCCACGCCGCGGCGACTATATAATTCTGCTCCTTGAAACCATCATGTCCCTCATACGCATCCCTCCGCACCCTTAACCCTCGCCTCCGGTCATACACTTCATAGGTAGTCTTCACCCGATTCTCCGTAATAGCTCCCTGTCCCGCTCACGTAGTCGCCCCTCCGTTCCATCCACTGGAAGACATACGCGCCGATCACCGCCACGGTCACCAGCTACAGCGCGGTGCCGAACATGTCCGCCAGCAGCCCGACGCGGGGATCGTACAGTCGGCCGCGGAAGTAGGGCAGCGAGCCGAAGGTCGTGGGGGGGAGGAGGAGTAGAAGCGTCGCGCTTCCCGCGACGATGCCGGGGATCACCACGGGGTTGAACTATGAGTGCGAGACCAGTCAGAATTACGGCACGATACAGACGCTTCTCGCCTTTCGCTTTGCGAGGGATACGGGCTCCATTAGATTGGGGGATCACGTACGTAGTTGTATTCATCTCGTCCGAGCACCGCGGCGCATAACCCGATGACAGCGGCGGCACAGAGCAATTGCAGCAAGCGGGGGAGAATTGTCCAGAGTGGGAGATAGATATACCCGCGGCGGAAAACCCCGAAGACGCCGTGACGGTTCGTGACGCTCAGACGGTGGGGTGCCTTTCCGATCATCAGGGCGATCTGTATCGTTCAGTTGATGCAAATTGTGGAGGAGGTATCGGTAATGAGACGTTGATTGGTGTTGCTGCGGAGTTGGTAGTTTGGAGATGGAGAGGACGATTTGGCATCCAGCATATATTGATATGGAAAATGGTTGAGTAGTCATCGTTTAACGCGGTTTGAATGTCCGTTTCCGGGCATCGGGTCGGAATGGCGGTCCTGTCGTGGAATGTCTTTCAAGACACCAAGCCCAGATGACCAAAACCATGCATTCCACTCAGACAAAGGAAGTGACATGTATGCGAGAGGACTTGAAAAATTGATGACATGTTCTTCGATTCACTGATATTTTCGGATCCCTTAACTTACAAGCACCCTTTTCACACGAAACAAAGTCGAAGGCAGCATTGCAATCATCATCCGAACCGAAACTCGAGCTGGGAGTGAAAAAGATTCGCAACGAACTCTATCATAGGGAAAGGTAGGATAACTGAGAATACACCGGTGTCTCCCCCCGAAGACGCCGCCTTGGAACTCTCTAAACATTGAGCCAGACCCATTTTGAAACCCCGGGTTAGGAGGCGGAGCACTGGACTGAGATGGAATGAAAAGAAATCCCGCAGCAGATCAATGAACCCCAGCATCCCCATACCCAACCGTCAATACCCCGCTCGCTTTTGCCCGACATAATGGTGGATTCCGTCATAAGATGTCCTCGAGATGTCGAACGCGAGCCGACTCTCGAGGAAAGTGAGGGACTCGCTAACAGGAGCCACTACCGTGTGCATGGAGTCTCTCCAGAAACCCTTTCGTGACGCCGGATCGTACTGATTCGTCCGTTTAACCGTCCCGACCGACTCCAGTAACTGTAGATGGATAAATGGAAAGATATTGTGCAATAACGCTATCACCGACCTCTATCCCTCTCACTCAACTGCCGCTTGAGTTCCCCAATCTCTTGTGTGAGACCCTTGATCCGTCCTTCGTAGTCCTCCTGCATCCGCGCCATCCGCGTTTCCAACTCTTGGATCTTCCCGTTCATCATCCCTTGAACCGCCGCATCGTCTCTGGTCGCGCCGATCAGCTCACGAAGGCTGGCCCCACTGCTCGCCGCACCGTGACTTGACATGCTGGATGGATTCGACACTGGACCGGTGGAAGCGGCAAGAATTCGTGGGTCGGTTGGACCGGACGTGGAGCCGAGGGATGAGATCGAAGGAAGGTGTTGTCCGGATGCGGCTTTATTGCCGCTACTTGGCCCCGCGATGGTAGAAGGGGGTGGAAAGCCTTGGCTACCGTTGGTCGACCGCGCGTACATATTGTTTCGCGCCGGATCTGTGGACGTCGTGGTTTGAGAAGCAGCAACCTGGCCGGGAGAGAGGGGTCTTGGAGAGTCGATCATGCTTTGGGAGAAGACCGATGATTGGTGACCTGGTGGGAATGAAGGGTGAATAGAAGGATCTCGTGCGTTGGAAGAGGGGTCATGTGGGCGTGCTGGATAGATGCCGCTTCCGCCGGGAGAAATTGAAGCATTGCTGACCAAAGCATTTGGTGGAGGTGGGTAGCTGCTTCCTGGATGTAGACGACCAAATTCATCCGTGGAAGGTGCGCGAACGTGCTTTGGACCGGATTCGGAAAGGCGACGGTCGGGTGCGCCTTCTTCATCTTCGTCCATACCGTCCGGCTCGGCAGTTTGCTGGTGATGATATTCCAGTCCCTCCATGATGCTGTCGTCTTCACCAGAAATTGTGAAGCTCGTGCGACGTCCTGCGCATCCACCCGGTCCTTTGTTGTGTCGGGCAAGCGCATCCCCGCGAGCGAATTTGCGTCCGCATCGCTGACATGTGTGAGGTCGCTCTCCCGTGTGAAGTTTCGTATGGCGCTTAAGATCATGAAGGCGACGGAATCGAGCTTGACAGGTGCTACATTCGTAAGGTTTTTCTTGGCTGTGAGTGAGAAGATGGGACTTGAGGTTGTGATGCCGCGTAAAGTCGGTCGAGCAGTAGGGGCATTTGTGTCGTTTGGTTGAAGGGGATTTCGGGCTGTTCGGATTATACCCAGCCACGGGAAGGGACATATTCCGGGGAGGACCCCGCTGTTCTGAATCTGGTGGGAATGGACTGGGATATGTGTGTGCGCGAGCAGAGTGGTCAGTCTGTGCACTTGGCGGAAGCATGTCTCCAGAGATCTTGCCCTGGGGAGTCTCCAGGGCCGGATCGGTGACGGATGCCTCTACAGAGATGGCCTCTCCCGCTGTTGTCGCCGGAGCAGTGGTTGTGAGTCCCTCTATGTTCGTCGGGTGCGACTCCTGCTCATTTTGAGCGCCCTCTGCAGCTATCGCCACTTTAATGAGAGGCTCAATTGAAGTCGTCGCGGAATCCGACACATCCGAGGGTTTCGTCGCATTATGTCCTATGAGAGCATTGACGCCTTCAAGGTTTGCGTTGGGACTTTTCTGTCGCGCTCGCTCTTGAGCCTGTTGCTCTCGTCTATGTTCGTCCTCCATCGCTGGCGCGCCTGTTAAAGGCATTGGGGAGAATCGACTAAATCCAGCCGTTTTCGGAGATAATGTGGATTGAATCGAAGTTGAGATAGAACCGGTTGTGATCGAGTTCAGGGGATCGGAGGCTGGTTTCGCCTCGTTCGAAAGCAAATGTGAAGCAGATATGATCGAGTCTGGTGTGGAAGGAGCTGCACTTGTCGATGTAAAATGGCCCGAATGAGTTGGTGTAATTGCTCTCGTCGTTGCTGCCATGAATAAATGTCGGCAATTTAAACCGCACTGGAGAAGCCCCGCGATCTAAGGAGAAGGGTTAGCTATGATTCAAGCAACTACATCAACACGACTATATTGAAGTTGCCAGTGCTGTGATTCCGAATACATTGAGCACTAGCGGCGCTCTCGCAGAATAGTGGAATGTCATCAAGTACTCACATTATGGGCCGAGTAACAGTCTGCGATAATGGCAACCTGTTGAAGCTACAGTAGAGTCACAACCATTCGCACGTAAAGCTACTCGGCTTGAGCCCTAGAGCGCGAATAGAGGATGCCTTCTTTGTTTCAATGGTTCGTTTCCTCAAGGGGAATCGAGTATAATCGGAAGCTGTTCGCGCCTCTGCACTACGCGATGCCCATGGACGTCCGGACGGGGTAAATTATTGGGTCGAGAGCTAGAAATTCTCGGCGCAGTTGAATCGATTGTTGACCACGAGCGTTGAACGCGTCAAGGCTGTCGACTTCGTTGTTCGTGTCGACAATGTTGTTCCCTAAGCCACAGTTGACGCGCAAAGTGCCTGGCAGCTTACAACCTGGTGCGGTTCACGGAGGACCTTGCGGCTGGTGGAAGTAATGAGGTGGGTTCCTGCACAATGAACCTGCAAGACATCAACCAAGCGAACTCAAAAGGAGAGTAGAAGATTAGAAGGGGACGCACAAGTTGAAAAGATGTGGTGACGATAGGGAAGCAACGTCAAGGTGTGCTGTGGTGGTGGCAGTGTGGTGGAGTGGAGGGAAGAGCAGAGGTGCCGTCAGTTCAATCGTCTTTTGCGGGTGGCTAGTAATGAACCGGAGGCGGCGTTCTCCCTTCAGCGCTCTCCCTTGAGCGATGGCTTTGGTTCCTGTTGGACGGGGGAACCCTGAGCATTCAGCGCCACGAAAGCTATACAAGCCTCTAAACTCGAGACTGGTAAGGTAATTAATGACGAGTGTTGGAACCAGAATCGTCGTTCAATGTTCTTTCTGATAATCGTTGTTTACGGCGTAATTTCCCATGCAATGGAAGTTAGAAAGGCTTATTGGTGGTTGGACGGTCGCAAAGCTCGAGGCAGCCTTGGAGACGGAGGAACTGAAGGCGCAGTATGCTGAACAGCCACACGGGATAGTGGCCTCAAAGTGGCGAAGAACCAGTAGATCCCACATGCATGGGCGAATTCAACACAAAGACGAACCGAGTGACTCTTCGTGAGGCGTAAATCTGATGGATTACTTTCATGGATAAGATCAGAGCGATGAACGATCAACGCCTCCTCAATAAAAGAAACACATGCAGGAGGGATGCCTCCTGCACGTGACTGCTGAATTGCATCAAGCCGAATCTAATGAACCAAGAACTGCTCCAGCTGTGAGGTGGAAATATCAACAACACATGAAACTCCTGTGTCGTCGCGAGGAAGACGACGCCAACAACGATCGTGAGATCAATATTGCTCAGACACTGAATCGGAATAATTACTCCAAATAGAAGAACATCTACGGCATCCCAAAGCTGAAGAATCATCAATATGTCGACTCACTCGGCCCTGGACGGAAGACGACAATTGAGCCTTCGGCTTCGATTGGTCATGTCGCATCCTCTCCCACATCAGGGTAGTGTGGCACAGAAGGCTGACCTTTTGTGTCTGGTCTCTCTGGTGCCTGGCCGCAGATATTTACGCCGCACCTAAATCCCGAGTGTGATTGGGAGACCTGTGACGAATGATATGGCGGACGCATCCGATTCCTTGAAACTTCTGAGGGGGCGCAAGTGGCTGATGGAGGGTAGCGAGATCGATGCTGTGGTGGACTCATCCGGTCAAACCATTCGCTGAATCATTACCCCTTCTCGCCAACATTACCGTAAGTATGGATAACTATCAATGCTGTTATTATCAAGCCTCAGCTGGGGTTCCGAGTCTGACCATGCCGATTGCCCCGGGCTCGTGAAACTCAGACTGGTCGGTATTATTACTGGGCATGTATAGCCATAGATACGTGGGCTATTCTTAGCATCTGCTATTGATATCGCTCTTGGCCCCAAGTCCCGACCCTCTACCGTTTGCGGATTGGGCTAACCACCATACTACGTAGTCCTCCGCGAAGATCCATAGCGAATGAAGAAAGAGCTTGATGAGGGATCGTGTATCGAGAAGTGGTCGCTCTTTGCACAGCCTGGTCCTCGCCCTCTGCAAAGTCGGTGATCTCATTGTTCTGTTGCATGTTTCAACTTTCAAGAGCTTGATCGCTTGACTCTATACCCAAGTCCATACTAAGTTCCTGTTAGAGGGAGAAACCCCGTCGGGATTGACTGCTGTGAAACACCAGGGCATATTTATGAATATTTCTACGGTCAAGGAAGAACTTTGGCAGCTTCCACAGCCTTGCACAGCCCCGCCATCCCCTCTTTCGAGACAATGAGATCTCTGATCTCGACATGGAGGATGATTCGGCCGTTGCTTGACATTCTGTCAGCACCATCAATCTGCGGTTATTATACCCCATCGGGCAGCGCATTAGACATTCACAATGTCTTTAAGTTAGCGATAGACGTTCATTGAGGCCTAAAATAAGCCTATCTACTAGGCTCAAGACCTGATCCTTGCCGATTAGCTCCAACTCGAGCGTCAGCGATGACATGGAGGAGAAAACTCACCCATGAATTACAGCACAGGATCGGAACAGTGAGCAGCATACGACTTTGTCCGGACTGATTGTATGTAAAGGTGAGCAGAGAAAGGCACCCCTTGCGAACATGTACGGCTGACGGGGAGCCTTCTTGCCTTCGTCTTCTGGTGTCAGTCCGCTTGAGCCATCAGCAATATACTCATGGTACTTTGACTAGATGTCCTCAGCAATACAAATATTTGACGTTGCGGCGGACTTTCTGGTCACGATTTGTGGAGCCGTTCCCGATTGTTCCGCGTTTCTCCTTGCACGATCTTTCCATCTCCCAAAATACGGCCATATCTAAAATGGTCATCCATTGAGACATCCTCGACATGATTCGGCCCCAAATCCAGCTTACCGATTCATACTGACGGGCCCTTCCCCTACATGTGAAACACCCCACCTTGGAGCATACTAGTCCAGATGGACCACAAGGTGTATCTAAACTCCGAACCCCGACAACGGGGCAAGTGAGTAGGTATCTTAGTCTTACGTTAACCATCCGTAGCTAGGTCCTTGATTTCTAACCCTTCTCCAACTCTTCTTAAACCGAGCTCCCCCTCATCTAATATCAGTCTATCTTCATAATTGCTTTTCACGCAAAGTACATCTCTTGAATTGAAGTTAGAGCTACCGTACACGTCCACCCTAGTATATATAGCTTGATATCAAGTCAATTGAAACCCCCTCACTCCAGAATATACCATCTACAATGGATCATCTCGAAAAGCACACGCTGACGGTCTCCCGCGGCTTCACTTACACTTTCTACACATCTCCAGCCTCTCCCTCCAATGCCGGTCACCCTGCCATCCTTCTCTGCCACGGTTGGCCCGATAGCGCCGAACTCTGGGACGACATCTCGAAGGAACTTCTCTCCCTCCCCAACCGCCTAGTCATTCCCGACCTCCTTGGCTATGGAGGCACGTCCAAACCGACCGATCCAAGCGCCTATGCATCGGAACTCATGGTTCAGGACATCATGGAGGTCTTGGCGAGCGTCGGCGTGTCCGGTCCCAACAGTATCCTCCCCATCGGCCACGATTGGGGGAGCTTTCTCGCGCAACGAGTGTATCTGTTCGGACCGGAGCACTGCGCGGGGTTGGGCATGGTGAACGTCTCCTACATGCCACCATCAGGCGAGCCGTATTCGATGGAGATGATGAACGAGATGACGCAACAGGCGTTCGGATATCCTGGGTTCGCCTATTGGGAGGTGTTCGCCTCCGACACGGGCCACGAATTGCTGGACCAACATCCCGAAAGCGTTTGGTGCGTGGCGCATGGACAGGGCGAGAATTGGCTTCTGGTGAACTGGTGTAAGTACGGGGCGATGGCGGAGTATATCGGCAACGGCAAGACGGACCCGTTGAAATCGTATGCCGGACCGGAGCGAACGGAGCGACGGGAGCGTTGGCTGAAGCAGATGAAAGAAGCAGGATTCGCCGGGCCGCAGTGCTGGTATCGGGCATCGGTGAAGGGGGTGCATGTAGAGGGGGAGAAAAAGATTGCGCAGGAAACCTTACTGATTACGAAGCCGACGCTGTTTATCGGCTGCACGCAAGATCAGGTTTGTCGTCTGGAAATGATCGAGTCGACAAAGCCATTGCTTCCAAACCTCATGACGAAGACGATCGAGAGCGGTCACTGGTCCCCATGGGAGAAGCCAGCGGAGGTGTCGGCGGCGATTCTTGAATATGTGCGAAGCAATGGACTATAGGCAGACTTAGATGATATCACATCATAATACGATTATCATAATACGATACCGGTATTCCGTATTCCGAACGGAGTATTCAAAAATGTATCCTGGCATGGGACCGAAATTGGGCCTTCCGACGACCCCGACGATACATAGAACCTTGGTGTGGCGAGACCCTGAATCGGCGTCTCCCCCTAGCCCCCACCCCCGGATTTTGGTGCCTCATCAATTGATTCAAGGATTCTACACCTGGCGTGTTTGTTTGGTTGTCGTCATGGCCTCATGGCCTCAGGCTCCCCTCTCATGTGCCAACACAGCAATCGGAAGTGAAACAACGCAAAAGGTGCAACATCATAACATCAATCACCACCTAATGACTCCATGTCTCCGACGTTTCTGTACAACTCTTACATATCTCCCCATCCTTCGTCCGTTTGACCCTCTCACAGCATTTCCCAACCCTCCACCCTCCTACAGCACAGCTTTCAACCCCATCCTTCATCCTTCCACTCCATCCTTACATCCATCATCACCACCAACACCCAAACGTTGTGATAGGCTCGAGCACATCCACATCATCCAATGCGGCTCGTCCCATAACCGCCCTTCGCTTGTGTCTCCAACAATCCAACCCGATCTGAACGTTCGCTACCCAAGCTTCTGGGAATCCTGGTCGCACCTCAACGCTTGCTCTCGAGGTCATCCGTACCAGACGTACTCCTTCGTTGCGGCATGTTGATCGTACGTCAACATGTCCAGCAGAGGTGCGGAAATCCGCCGTCCCAGCAAACGTACCAAGGACAAGGACAGAGAGAAAGATCGTGACCGTGACCGCGACCGCGACTCGCCTCGAGAACCGAAGGTGAAAGACGATCGAGAACGGCATCGACGGAAGTCCTCCCGCAAAGTTTCCACCTCCTCAGCTGCGTCCAAAGATAAAGACCGTGACCGAGACCGCGATCGAGATCGAGACCGCGAACGACACCACCACTCCTCGCGAACTTCCACGCCAACGAAAATGTCAACCTCCGTCCCTGAAAAGGAGCGTCGTGCCTCCGCCGCCTCGATCGGCAACTCCTCCACCAACGTGTCGTCATACCCCTCATTTTCCAAAGCACACAGTCGCGAAGCCATTGGCAGTCGTGAGAAAATTGCGAACCCTCGGTTGTCTCTCTATACCCCCGACCCTACCGATCTCGGACACGACAAAGACGGAGCATGGAAACTGAGTCCTGGTGCTACGAAAACTCCCCCGACGCCGGCCAGAGGAACACAAGCACCTCCCAGTCCTCCTCTTACAGCAACGGATGCTGGACAAAGAAGGGCGGCGAGTGCCAACATGGTGAACATACCAGAGAGAACAAAAACTGCGTCCCCATCGGCAGGAAGACGAAGCGTGGATGACGGGTATAGGCGCATGAAACCCAGTGCGCCAAAGCCAGTGAAGTCAGCCTCGAGCCTACGAAGAAGCGAGATATTACAAGACGACTCAATTGTGCAAGAGACGGCGTCGACCGGACGGTCATCACCAAGTACATTGCGGAACTCCCGTTCAAAAATGAAAGTTTCTTCGACAGGAGATGGCACGCATACTGCACCCACAACAGTCACAGAGTCAGATGGGACATCAACTCTGAACGGAAGATTAAAACCGTCGCAGCAAGGGACCATGCCAACGTCAAATTCGTCACCAATGTCTGCGACAGACTCATCCCCGAAGACCCCTATTCAACACAAGCCGCCTATCTCGCCATTTGGAACCGGAAAACAACCGATTTCAGTCGACATATTTGCCGGCGAAAGCGATGTAACACCCGTTCGAACGACATCAGCAGCGCCTCACGGGTTGGATCAGGGACAGTCCTCGTTTCAAAGTAACCCCAATGCTCCCCCTCCCCCGCCTCCTCCACCTATGATGGCACCACCAGATGTTCCCAGAGTCGACTACTTGTTGCAGAACGGTGGCTTACCCCAATTGATCCCAAAAACCCTGCTTACTGCAGCGGCAAAATCTCAATCAATCCCGAACTACCAAACATATCAGTCTCCGGTTCCTCCGGCTACGCAAAGTTCACATTCCGAATCGATTTTTGGACCGTTCTACAAGCTTCTGTCAGACTACGAACAGGTGATGACAAAAAATGGGTCGCTTGCAGTAGCCACAGGATATCGCTCCGTTGCTCGACGCCTTCTCGATCGATTAGAAGCCGTCTTTGCTCGTAGTATCTCCGCCGAGGTGTGCTCTTGCGTCATGTGCCGTTCTAACCCAGACCGTCAACTTCCAAATTCGGAAGACTCGGGAATCAGCTGGGGTGAGATCCTTGAGTACGTTGCTGGCAGACGTGAGCTCCCTCCATGGCCACCGTTCACCATCTCCCCCAACGCACAGGGCTTGGGCATCTCCATCCGCACACGCGAGGCTCCTATGCAGAAATTGGATATCGATATCCCGGAAGAATACCAATCTCATTACATTCGACAGAGCAAGAAAACTCAACACGCCGTTCAATCTTGGCTTGCCAGCCAGCCATCCGATCCATCGAGCCCCCCGGCAGAAATTGACGATGAAACGCTTACCTTTGCGATTCTCACCCACCTGGAACCCTCTCTTCGTCCCCTCTTCAGTGCACTCCATCTGGATCTCCCGTCGGTACCCACACCCGGTTCCCGGCCCCCAAGCGCGATCGATCGTCCGCGACCCGAATTGCTGGCAAAAACCGTCTCGGCGATCCAACGGCTTTACCGACTACAGAAACCCCCACGGGACGCAGAGTGTACCATCTACCTTTTGAAGAATCCGCACATCCACAGTGTGCTCGCCACCATGGCTGCGGTCAGTGAGCATGAATGGGATGTCCTCGTATCCGGTCGATTCGACGGCTTCCTGTGGTCTGGCGCCGAAGGCATCTATCCGGTCCCTCCATCCAGCCGTAACACCCAATCTCCCAGCGTCGTACGGCCTGGAATTTCTCGTATCACCACGCCGTTCGCCCCCGCATCCCGAGGCCCCACCCCATTCTCCCCGCAACCCCCCCTCCGCTCCATCC